TCTCAACGTCATTTGTTCTAATATGTCGTCATGTGTCTGTAGCTTTTTTTTGAAATGCAAAGAGAAATCTATTATGTGTTGCGGGTACCAGGAGTACACCAGACCAACACCAAATTGAGTAAGTTACAAATTGAACGACAAAATACAATCAATCATGGGGGGATGGAAGTGCCTTTGGCTACATGTGGGACTTTACTTGTTGCTTGCTATTCCGTTACCTATCCTTTTGTTGCTGCAAATGTTGGTTAGACAATCAACTGGATTATGGAGCCAATCTGATAGGGAGAAGAAACAGCCTCCTTTTCTACTTTTTAGCCACCTAAATGTCCTAATTTGTACCAGCTCCAAAAGCCTCATTTTGTCTGGTTCCTTCTCTCGAAAGATCTTCTCATTTTAAATTATCTTGAATATTTATTTATAATAAATTTAGTATCATTTTAAATTAAATATCAAACAATTTCATGAAAATTAAGAAGAAAGAAACATTTTACCCATGTACTTACTGTCCAAACATATAGGATATGCAAAATACAGCTAACATTTGGATTAAATTAATCTTATGAATGTAGGTAGAATCATCCAAGATTATTCTGTAAATGTTTTTTTTTTTTTTTTAAACACAGCTAAAATGATATATAGATCAAACAAACCCATACAATATCTATAGAAGAAATTTTTATTTCATTGATAAGAACTTATGACAATACCAAGAAAAGCACAATTGGAGATAAAAACAAAGAAAACCATAATTGGAGTTAAAAACAAGAGCAGATCAAATTCAATATGAAATAAATATAAAAGAAGGGACGATGAATAGATTCACACAAACAACCTCTACTTTTACAAATTCCTTTGGTTGAATGTTTCAAAATAACTGAACATCCTTCAATTTACTCTTGAAACAAATAAACTCACTTTTTATGATGCCATGACTTGCAGATTAAAGTAAGCAGTGACTAACCCTTAATTTATTTTTTATTGTCTTGTTGATCACTAGATTTAAACAAACAAACAAAAAAAAGAAGGGAAAGAAAGAGACCACTAAAAGGACACAAAAGAAGCTGATAGACCAGCCAAGGTGATAAACGGACAAAGGAGCACAATTCCGGCTCCAAAATCCAAAATTAACATATATAAGCAACGAATGATTCTATGTACCATATCCGTGAATTGATTCGAAACCTCTCAATTTAAAAATTGGATGGGGAAAGATATGTTCAACAGCCCAGTAATGGTGTCAAAGGAGTCCGGTGTGTCCTGCATTTAGACACCGTAATGAGTAGAAGACGGATGAGACAGAAACAAGCCAAATTAAAAATGGAGCACCTATAATTAAGGTGGTTGGTCACCTCAGACATCAAAATTAGAAAATGTATGATAAATTAACTTTTTCGTGACCTCTCCTAAAAATCAAAATTTAATCAATTAATAAAATTTTTTTAAAAAATTTAATATTAATTATAATCTCTTCTTCTTTTTTTGATAAAAGGTATAATTGAATTAATAATTAAAAAGCAATAATAGTGCAGAGTATACCATGCCATATAAGTTATGCAAGAGAGATAAATAAATTAGGTAAGACCTATAACACTAATAGAGAGAGTTTGGTGCTCCATACAAATAAAACAATTAAGAACTAAAAATTTCTAAATATTAGTATATGTTATAGGCACATCAATAGAGCTATGTGATAATATATATAGACTACAATGGAGCTTACAGTTGCTGCTGGTAATCACATTTATTTTGCCATCCAAACCTAGCATGGGAGATCAGGAGACTTGGCGATGCAGTGTCTCCCAACACTACAATGCTCCGTCCAAACAGAAAATACTTAGTTTGTTTCATGTTCAAGTGGCCGGCAAAGCAAAACCAGTGCAAAAACATACACTTCCTTAGAAGACCAACAACACTAGAACTAGAGTCACCCACAACATCCCTGTCCTTCTATATTCGATTACCAGATCGAAAATTGGAGTGCATTAGGTTCTCTAATGTGGATCAAAGGATGTCGTTGTCTTGCCGAAAATTGGAGTGCACTAGGTTCTCCGAATGCAACCCCCGCCAAGATCCCATATGAAATTAAAGATATGTCAAAGTGAGATTCTAATCTGGTGAATAAGAAAAACCCAAACCCACCAGCGAAATCATGTCCCTCGATATTCAGTCACAACCTTGAAAACTTGACAGTAGATGTAAATCGAAAGATGCCACTGCCTTATGGTCTTTTGAGCTGAAGTTTCCAAAGCAAGATAGTCAATTAAGAGGAAGGAAGAAATCAAGAGGAGGAAGGGAAGGGAAGAAGACAATAGAGAAAGAAGAAACTCTTTATCGAAGAGAAACCCTTGGAAGAAATCCATAGCTGCTGCCCTCAACCCTAAGTAGAGCACAAGAGAAAAAACCTAATTCCTACGACGCCTGGAATCAATTCTTTTTTTTATTTAAATAGATCATTAATTATAGTCTCTTAATTTAAAATTTTTATATAATTTTTATTCTTCAATTATTTAACATACTTTTTTAATCTCTCAATTCTAAACAAAATGTATTTTTTTTTTATCTCTTTATCAATTAATTCATTAAATTTATTCATCTATATATATTTTTAATTCTTAAACTTATAAGTTTAAATACTAAAAATATGTATATATTATAAATTTATAAATTAAAAACATATATTTTGACAAATTCAATAAACTAACTAATAAAATCATTAAAAAATATATTTTTTAGAATTGAGATATTAAAAAAATATTTTTAAATTAAAAAACTAAACAAATACATAAAATAATAGAGAGACAAATTTTGTGCAAAATCCCGAGGAACCAAAAATTCGTATTTAACCATAAAAAAACAACCGCTTGGGTCACTTATCCAAACATTTCATATGTGAGCATATTGACAGTCAATGATCCGTTACAATTTACAAAGCTTAATTTATCCCTTCAAGTGCCTCCTTGTCTCCCCACTTTGCCCATACGGATTCTTGCCTTCTCAACTGAAAAATTCCAATATATTGAGAAAACTTCTCTCAAAAGGAAAATAAATGAACAAGCCATGTTATTAACTTGGTCCCAACAAAACAGAATTTTACAGGCCATCCTTAATCAATTGACACCCAAACCATTCAATCATAAATGTGATGGTTGAAGCATGAACGTACCTCTTTAACCCAGTCCATGCGGGAAGTGACATACTTAAGACCACAGACTGCATAAGTGAGCCTCCTATCATCCAAAACCATA